TTTCTATGAGTGGAAACAGAGAGCTGAAAACCCTGAAGCAGTAAGGCTGTTTATGTTTATGTTTATGTTGGGAAATGGACAAGCCATCCAACCCAGTTAGCTGATTATTTTGTTTAGTTAGTGCTCAGAAGAGCAAGGCTTTTGTTTGATATATTTTTGTTACCTTTATACCTTACTGTGCATTTATTTTGGAACCTCAATAAAAGAGCAAGTCAGTTTACCTCATCCAGCGTGTGAAGTGTCTCTAAAGCCTGAAAAGACTGTGTGTAACACCCCAATCCCAGGACAAGGTACCAAGGGAAAGGAGTACTTTTGTCACATATGGTGGAGAATGCGGGCAGCACACGGCAAAGTCTGTAAGTAGGGAGAAAGAGACTGCTGAGAAAATGGAGGATGTCATGAAAGCTTTGCTCCAGTCCACTGCTGTAAAGCAAGAGACAAACAGGAGGACTGCAGAGACTAATGCAATACAGCAAGAGAGCATTTCAATACTGCAGCAGCTTGTACTGGCTCAAAAGGAAAATACAGATGCTTTATTCAAGCAAGTTGAAGCAACACAGGCAGCAGCGCATCAAGTGCTCAGAGAGGAGCAGCAGCGTGCCACATGTGTCATACAGCAGGAGATCCAGAGTCTATCACAAAGGCTGGCCAGGGATGCCACAGACTTACCACAATGTCCAAAGGTGATCAGAGTGAGTCCCTACTTGCAAAAGATGGTATCCACAGATGATGTAGAAGCCACCTATGTACACCCAAGTGAACAAGTCAAAGGCATGAAAAGCAGACTGACTTGGGGAGTCAGAGAAGACAACAGCAGAGGAGCTGAGCAAAATGGAGAGAAGCAAGGCACCCCAATTGAGTATAACAATGCGGTGCACTGTTTAGTAGCAGAGGCTACCCAAAAATGGCAACCAGCTGTTGGACAGTTTGGCAGAGAAAAGCAAGGCAGAGAAGTAGTGGCAAAACGAAGTCAAAATAAGAAAGGCAAAGTAGCCGCTTCTGATCTAAGCCAAGAGAGAGCGACAGTTACAGAACCAAGCTGTGATGATAAGATGGGCACGTCCGCAGCTAAGCCAGACCAAGGCGAACGTCACAAAGTAGGTGACATTGGCATAGCAGAATTAAATATTTCAGAGACACCTGGTATAGCTACAAAGACTGTGAATGATTGTTCGGGAGCCGTAGAACTGGAACTGCTGGCAAAGACTACTGCTACAAGGCCTGGGCGCACTGACTACCTGGAACAGCTGCCAGATTCTGGGAACACAGTCATGGAATTAAAGGCGGGACTCGGACTGCCTGACCATCTGTTTGATACCGGGGCTATCGTAATCCAGCGAGAGGCCATGACTGCGTCTCTGGACACCCCCAAGGGAACAGGGAGACCGCCAGACAGCCCAGAGGAAAGAATTGCTGACATTGAGAGGTGGCCACTCAAGGCTGAGCAAGCAGAGGATACCCCTGGGGAGGAAACCAGGCAAAGGAAAGATGAGCTACGCAGGGAGTCTGGGCCTCCGGCACAAGAACAGCGCTCCATACGAGACCAGACTGAGAAAGAACTCAGATGCTTCAATTGCCATATGCAAGGACATATTGCATATAACTGTCCTGAGAGTGAAGAGCCAATACAATGTGACATAGGAATAATGGCTCTGCATAGGATTGTATTGACTTGCTTAAAGATGTGTATGGTGACTGGTGGTGGTGTTACAGCACAGCTAAAAGTGGTGATGGTGGTAGGGAAGAGTGCACAAGCACTGATAGATTCAGGGAGTGAGGTTACTTTGATGAAAAGTGTTCTGTTCCTGCCAGAGTATGCAGCTGCCTACCTTGATGTGGTGTTTAACAGGGTGGACTGGGTAGCACACCTGATGAAGGTCCGGTTAGTTGTGATTAATGTAAAGGCTGCCGGTTTGACCGCTAACACTGCTAACTATTTGGGTTTTCCACTTGGGTGGGGGCTCCTTAAACTACAAGGGAGCAAGGTAGCAGCCATCTGCAATAGGCCACTTCCTGTAACTGAGAAGCTAGTCAGGGCTGGTAGAGGCCTAGGTGTTATGAATGTTCACGGTTTGTGTTCTAAGGCCGCTCGACCCGATGGGTCTGAGCTGGGGGGGAGGATATGTGATAAAGTGAAGGCAGATAGGCCTTTTAACCCCAGGGGGAGTATGTGTAGGATGTGTTGTAGGCAACACAAAATGCTGTTTAGTTATGGGCCCCTGGGGTGGAGCATTTGGAGAGAAGAGTGGGCCAATGCTCCACTCCACAGTTTAGTGGTTTTCTGGGGAGACATAGATCCAGGCCAGGGTTTTTTGGACCGTCTCCAACCCACTGCTCAGGTGCAGTTAATGAGCTATTGCAGTGGTAATAAGCCCTCCCTGCTAGGCAGGGAAAGGAGAGGGATTGCTGGCTTCCTCCCAGGAAGCAGGTAGGAGAGAGAGGCTGTTCTCTCCAGATAGTCAAGGAGACTAGGCACTTGGAGTGCAGAAAGGAAGCAGTCAGGGCAAGACTGGCTTGGAGCACTGGGAGTGCAGATAGGAAAGCGGTCAGGGCAAGGCTGGCTTGGAGCACTGGGAGTGCAGAAAGCAAAGCAGTCAGGGCAAGGCTGGCTTGGAGCACTGGGAGTGCAGAAAGGAAAGCAACAGGTTAGATAGCAGAGCGTTGCTCTCTAATAAGGTTGGTGCAAGATTGTGTTTGGTTTCTATGAGTGGAAACAGAGAGCTGAAAACCCTGAAGCAGTAAGGCTGTTTATGTTTATGTTTATGTTTATGTTGGGAAATGGACAAGCCATCCAACCCAGTTAGCTGATTATTTTGTTTAGTTAGTGCTCAGAAGAGCAAGGCTTTTGTTTGATATATTTTTGTTACCTTTATACCTTACTGTGCATTTATTTTGGAACCTCAATAAAAGAGCAAGTCAGTTTACCTCATCCAGCGTGTGAAGTGTCTCTAAAGCCTGAAAAGACTGTGTGTAACACCCCAATCCCAGGACAAGGTACCAAGGGAAAGGAGTACTTTTGTCACAATACCAATTTAAAAAATTGCATCACAGATTATTCTAAATGGCGTATTTTGAGTTTTTCGGTCTAGCCACTTTATCAGAAATGCAATTTCACATTTTATTTGTGCAGAACTTCTTTTCCCAATTGTGACAGACCCATCTGTTTTTAAACTACTTTTATTTCTCCTTGGTTCGTCTGTTTGTTCGGCTATTTCCCTGTCCGTTTGTTCGTTTATTCCCCTGTTTTACCGAAAGGACTGCCGAACGGCCGGCCACCCAGCATGGAAGTGTGCTACATGTTAACCTCTTGGCCTCATTAGAATGTTGTGGTTAACTGCAGACCGTTCCTAAATGTCGGATGGGGGGTGGTCGTTCGTAGGAACGAACACGCGGCGACGGCCATCTTGGACATACGAATGCCCAGCGGTGTTTGTCGAGGATTTCATGGAACTGAAAACGGACACTATTTTCCCACGAAAACTGCTGAAGCTGCCGACCTCCCTTCTTATGTTCTTCAATCATACGAACGCCGTACCATTCAGTACTTTTCCTTACGAACGGAATCACCCCAGATAGCTATCCCATGGAGCCCATTCCTGTGATGAAAGACTTTGGCTCCATGGCGATTGAACTGTATGTATGTGATCTGAGCGCTGTTCGGTAATATTGTGCGCTAGGATCTAAGTTATCTGGGGATATGTTGAATGTGCATGTTTCCTTCGGTAGTTTCAGTATTATATATTTTTATGTATTCTGTATCTTCTGTATAAAAAGGAGTTTGTCCTCTATCCTCGGAGATAATTGAGTTACTTCCCAATTATCTCCAGGATAGAGAGGAGGATCCTATACAGTTAGAGGGGAGTGTTTATGTCTGTAATACTGTGATTGGCTATTGTACTATTCGTGTCACAGTTTTCCACCAGGTCCGCTATGGGAGTGTCCACCTGGTCGAAGACCTGCATAAAAGGTGGGCATGTAGCCCACATTAAACCAGATTCCTGCTTGACCCTCAATACAGAGCCTCGTCTCGTACTTGGGGGGAATATTCGTATGGTTTTCCTGTTCGGCTGTTTGGAGTGTGGATTATTCAAATGCTTGCTTGTTCGGCTGATTGGAGTGTTCGGTAGCTGCCTTTGTGTTCGGGAAGGGAATATCCTAAACGGCTTTAACCCCTTCTATACCCGGGGTGCCGTTACAATTGGTGGCAAGCGGCGGGATGATTCCTACAGCCCAGAAGGACAGCTACAAGGTGACATCAGCCAATGGAAGCACAGTATGAACGGCTAAAGCGCCCTCAAGGACTTACTGGTAAACCGGGGCCGATCCGCCAGCAATCGTAAGAAGAGGGACATTATCGCAGAACGAGTCAAAATGGATATAACCGAAAGACCCAGCGTAACAGACAGGGCACCCGAAGAGGCAAGTTTTGATCGGGCTGTTGCCATCAGACTGGCACATTATGGACCTAACCCTACAGCAGAAATCATAGACAGGGTTATAGCAGCCATGGATGCCAACCGGCCGCACCTCCAGCAAAGAGGTGCTGCAGCAGCGGAAGTCACAGCAGCACCAACCGAAAGGAGAAAAGTAAATTTTGCTGCTTTTAAAAATTTAATCGAAACAGAAGGGGAGATTGATGGGTACCTTGTCGATTTTGAACGGCAATGTGCTCTACACCAGATGCCTCCAGAGGAATGGGTCACCATTTTGTCCGTGAAATTGTCTGGCTGGGCCAGTGACGCGTTCAGGGCCATCCCAGATGCGGATATTACTAACTATGGGCTGGTGAAAGAAGCCCTATTAGCCAGGTATGCTGTCACACCAGAGGCATACCGGAGGCGGTTCAGAGACACTAACAAGCAGACTGGAGACTTTTATACAGAGTGGGCATGCCGCCTACACCGCACGGCATCCCACTGGGTCGCTGGATGCCAAGCAGTATCCGGGGAAGAGGTGCTGCAGCTGTTCCTGCTGGAACACTTCTTTGACAAGCTGTCCCCGGGAATCAGAGAGTGGGTCTGGGACTGAAAACCCTTTACCTTGCCTGAAGCAGCTCGCCTGGTGGATTAGTACAGACACCCGCAAACTAGATAACCCTGTGGTCAAGGCAACAGCTTGGGTGGATTATCGATCCGCGGCATCCCCTCCAGCTGCCGCCTACCCACCGCAGTCGTACCGCCCTACACCACCTCCAGCTGCCACTTATTCTCAGCAGCCCAGATTCAACCCGCAGGACTACTCTCAACCCATCCGGTGTTTCGGGTGCAAACATGGCACAAAAGGCCAGACTGCCCGTTGAACGCAGCCTGGCAGTCCCAGTCGTGGAGAAAGCCAGCAGGGGAAACCCCTGCTCATCAATGCCTGCTGCCCACTGTGTTGAAGAGGAGGAACATTGGGGCATTCTACATGAAGCGGATCCAGTCCAAGCAGCTAACCGTGACAACAGGCAACAGCACAGGCAGATTGTCCGGGTTAATGGAAAGGTAGCCAATGGCCTACGTGATACTGGCGCCACCATGACCCTACTACAAAAGAACCTTATTCCAGAGATCCAACACACCGGGGACACTGTAGCCGTAAGGGTAGCTGGAGGGACCATTTTCCAGCTACCGGTTGCCCGTGTTCACCTGGATTGGGGGGTTGGTTCGGGACATGTGAATGTGGGGGGTGATGAAGGATTTGCCAGCAGATGTACTACTGGGGAATGATCTAGCCCCCCTTGTTTCTGCTTATGTCCCGATGGGCCCCGCTGAAGCCAACCCAGTGACCACCCGTGCCCAGACCCATGCTGCTGGAACCCAGGTAAGACTATCTACCCCGACATGTACCTTAGACCAGGCCCCCCTTGGGCTGGGATACTCCATATGCATTTGGGAGGGAAACCTGGGAAGATCCAACCTTACAAAAGTACAGGGATAGGTCAGATACCCAGGAAAGGGGAATAGAAGGGGAGCTCTATGAATGGGTGGGGGATAGACTGTACAGGATCCCTAAGCCATCCCCGAGGGGTAAAGCCCCTCGCAGAAACGACAGCTGGTGGTACCCAAGAAATACCAGATGGAGATTTTGCGAATCAGGCATGATGTACCGTTAGCAGGACATCTAGGGTCCCGTTGCACAGCCCACAGGATTACACAGAATTTCTTTTGGCTCAGTTTTAACCGGGATGTGCAACAATACTGCAAAACGTGTGACACATGTCAACGGGTAGGTAATCAGGGGAACCACCCTAAGGCCAGAATTATGTCCATGCCTATTATTGGGGAGCCCTTCTATCGCATAGCCGTTGACATTGTGGGTCCCTTGGCCAGGCCTAGTCTATCCGGGAAGAAGTATATTCTCACCGTGGTGGACTATGCCACCAGTTACCCAGAGGCTGTAGCTATGTCCAATATTGAAGCGGAGACCGTAGCTGATGCCCTAGTTAGGATTTTCACTAGAGTGGGCTTCCCTAAGGAGATCCTCTCCGACCAGGGAACTCAATTTACCGCTGTGCTCACCCAACGGTTGTGGAAGGCGTGCAATATCAAGCCCTTGCTGAGCTCACCTTACCACCCCCAGACTAACAGTCTCTGCGAGCGCTTTAACGGGACCCTCAAGCAAATGCTGAGGACCTTTACTAACGCCTGCAGAGACTGGGAGAGATTCCTGCCTCACCTGTTGTTTGCGTACAGAGAGGTACCTCAGAAATCTACTGGGTTCTCTCCCTTCCAGTTACTCTATGGGAGAAGGGTCCGCGGACCCCTGGATCTCATAAGGGGACACTGGGAGGGGGAGACAGAGCAGGAGGGGACCCCCATAGTGCCATATGTTCTGGAACTCAGGGACCGCATGGTAAGCGAGAACCTCCAGGCGGCCCAGGGGGGACAGAAGAGGTGGTACGTTCGGGGTGCCCGACAGCGTATCCTCCCGGGTTGGGCAGAAGGTCCTAGTGCTCAAGCCTGCGTAGACCGACATGATGCAAGCAGGGCCCCGGATAAAGTAGTAGCCCAGGTATGTGATACTACCTATGTTATTGCTAGCTGTGCAGATGAAAGGATCCAGCGATCCTTTCATGTGAACATGCTGAAGGAGTATCAGGAAAGGCAGGAGGATGTTGCTGCAGTATGTGCCCCTGCTGCAGACAACTCAATAAGTTTACCCTCCCTGACTTACTAGAGAGAGACCCCCAGACTGACCTTACTAGCCTTGTACAGCTAGGGGACCGGTTAAGCCCCACAGAGAAGGAACAGGCAAAGCAGCTTCTGTAGGAGAAACAGGCAACTTTCGCCCAAGAACTGGGCTACATGACCTTGGCTGTGCATAAGTTAGAATCCCCTGGACAAGCACCCCTTCGATAGCCCCCCTATCGTATCCCTGAAGCAGTGAGAGAAGGAATGCAGATGGAGATACAGCAGATGACTCAGCTAGGAGTCATTGAGCCCTCTGACAGCCCTTGGGCCTCGTCTGTAGTTCTCGTGCCTAAGAAAGACGGAACCACTTGGTTTTGTGTGGACTACAGGTGACTCAATGAGAAGACCACCACTGACGCCTACCCGATGCCCAGGGTAGACGAACTGCTAGATCGTATATAGCCAGGGGAAGTTATTTAACTACAATAGACCTGTGTAAGGGCTATTGGCAGATTCCCCTGGCCGAGGATGCTATCCCTAAGTCGACATTGGTTACCCCGTTTGGACTGTACCAGTTTAAGGTCCTGCCATTCGGGATGAAAAATACTCCGGCTACCTTCCAACGTTTGGTGGATAGACTTCTTAATGGCTTCCAGGAATTTGCATGTGCGATCTACAGTGGCTCTTGGGGGGAGCACCTGGTTCTCGTAGGGGTGGTTCTGGACAAGATTCGGGCCGCAGGCCTGACCTTGAAACCAGACAAGTGCCATCTAGGTATGGCTGAGGTGCAGTACCTGGGAGACAGAGTAGGGTGTGGGAACCAGAGACCAGAGCCAGCAAAGGTAGAGGCGGTAGCTAACTGGCCCACACCCCGCACTAAGACCCAGGTACTAGCCTTCTTGGGGACTGCAGGGTACTACTGATGCTTTGTCCCCAATTATAGTGCTATCGCCAAGCCCCTAACTGACCTGACGAAAAAGAATTTACCTAGGCAGGTCCTGTAGTCTCCAGCTTGTGAAGCTGTGTTTCTAGCCCTCAAGCAAGCACTTGTAAAAGCCCCTGTTTTGGCTGCCCCAGTACCTAACAAACATTTCCTTGTCCACACAGACACTTCCATATTTGGACTAGGGCTGTGCTAATCCAAGTCGGGGAGGATGGAGGAGAACACCCTGTCGCATACCTGAGCAGAAAGCTATTACCCCGGGAAGTGAGCTATGCGGCAGTGGAGAAGGAGTGTTTGGCCCTGGTTTGAACCCTTACTTGTACGGACAGGAATTTTCGTTAGTCACCGACCACAACCCATTGGTCTGACTTAACCGGGTCTCAGGAGACAATGGCAGGTTGCTGCGGAGGAGCTTATCCCTGCAACCTTACAACTTTACCATCAGCTACAGACCCGGTAAGCAAAATGGCAATGCTGATGGGTTGTCCTGGCAAACAGACGTCACTCCGGCTTCCTAGTTCCGGACTTGCCAAAGTTGGCCCGAGAAGGATAAAGCCGGGTCTACCGGAGTGTCCCACAAGGAGGGAGCCGTGTGACAGACCCATCTGTCTTTAAACTACTTTTATTTCTCCTTGGTTCGTCTGTTTGTTCGGCTATTTCCCTGTCCGTACGGTCCCTAAGTTTATTCCCCTGTTTTACCGAAAGAACTGCCGAAAGGCCGGCCACCCAGCATGGAAGTGTGCTGCTTGTTAACCTCTTGGGCTCATTAGAGCGTTGTGGGTAACCGCAGACACTTCCTAATTGTTGAATGTCGGCTGACACTATTTTCCCACAAACACAGCTGAAGCCGCCGACCTCCCTTCTTATGTTCTTCAATCATACGAACGCTCGGTACTTTTCCTTACGAACGGAGTCACCCCAGATAGCTATCCCATGGAGCCCATTCCTATGATGAAAGACTTTGGGTCCATGGCGATTGAACTGTATCTCCAGGATAGAGAGGACGGTCCTATACAGTTAGAGGGGAGTGTTTATGTCTGTAATACTGTGATTGGCTATTGTATTATTCGTGTCACAGTTTTCCACCAGGTCCCCTATGGGAGTGTCCACATGGTGGAAGACCTGCATTAAAGGCAGGCATGTAGCCCACATTAAACCAGATTCCTGCTTGAGCCTCGTCTCGTATTTGGGGGGATTATTCGTGTGGCTTTCCTGTTCGGCTGTTTGGAGTATGGATTATTCCTATACTTGCTTGTTCGGCTGATTGTAGTGTTCGGGAGCTGCCTTTGTGTTCGGGAAGGGAATATCCTAAACGGCTTTAACCTCTTATATATTTGGGGTGCCGTTACACCAATCGCACTTTAAAAGAACAATTCATAGAAAGGAGATATGACCGTGAAACACTTGACATACATATTAAAGAAATTGCACTTTTAGACGATCCCCTTTTGGAATACAGGAAAAGGGAAACTGAAAAACCACAGAACCAAATGACATTTATTTTTAATCATTCAATTAATGTGGGTACGATATAAAAAAAAAAAAAAAATCATAAATAAGAATTGGCATATCTTGAAACAGGAAGATGAAATATTTGTTTTCAGGGGGGCAACAAATTTTTTTTAAATTTTTTTGGACAAAGAAATCCCTAATAAAAAATGTCTAACCAATTGGACACAAAAACAAAATGGTTTCTGACACTGTGGTATGAGCAATGCATGTAAAAACTCAAATATATCTAATAAAAATGGAACACACTTTATCTAATTCGTGACAAAAAAAAGAATATAAAATCAAATCGGTTATTACTTGTCATTCAAGTAATGTAATTTATTGAAATGTACATGCGGGTACCAATATGTAGGTAAAACGTCCAGACCTATCTTTTAAAACCACGATCAGCGAGCACATTAGGAACATAAAAAAGGGATTCATCAACCACAGTGTGTCAAAACATTTCCTAGAAAACCATGGATCAGATCCAAAAAGAGAGAAGGTTAATGTACATTGGAGAGGAGGAGCCATAGCAAATAAATTGAGTACCCAGGCAGCAAAATGGATTTTTGAAAAGCGGACCCTAATCCCCCTGGGTCTCAATATAGATTTTGAGATTAATTGTATTTGATAGGTTTTTTTTAATATATAATTTTATATATTCTTCTATGTATATGTATATGTGTGTATATATATATATATATATATATATATATATATATATATATATATATAAAGCATATTTTATATATATATATATAATATGCTTTTTTGCACTATCAATGTATGCTTCTTAATTTAAAAAAACCTGGGTGTCTGAAAAAGACCTCACTATTTTTGATATATTTCTTTATTATTTTTAATCACATCGCTAAATGCTGCTTAACATGAACTATGGGCGTTTATGCCCTCTTCAAAAATGGAGCAAGTGACTTATATAAGGCTTGCCCATTTCATTCTTCACACCTGGAAATTTGACAAAATGATATTGTGGGCCTATGTCGCTTTTGAGAGAGTATGGCAGCCTGAGTAATATGTTGACTATTATGACATACCAATTTAAAAAAATGCATCCCAGATTATTCCAATGGCATATTTTGAGATGTTTGGTCTAGCCACTTTACCAGAAATGCAATTTCACATTTTATTTGTTTTATTTCACACACATGGACTCCATTTTCACCGGACATAACATAATACTGATGTGCGTTAGTGTAAAAAGAGACTTAATATTTTTATTTAGCATTGTCTCACCAATAGGTCCCCCAGTGTACTAGTTTTCTAGGGTTTTTTGGGCATGTCACAGGGCCATATATATTAGATGTCTTTTTTTGTAGCGGACCCCAGCTAACCCGACTTGTTACCTCCGATAATTCCGTCCATCAGCCATTCCGGAATCGCTTACAGTATAAAGACTCCCATTCCCCCAGTAACTGGACGAGACACAGCTCTAGGAGTACAACACGATTTTATTGTGCTACACACGGCTTTTATGCATAACCCCTTGCAAGGGGTCTTCTGAACAAACAAACAGGGGTTTCCAGCCCTGGATCCTCTGTACCTGGAAGCCAAGGCGCGGGAAAAGGGACATAGTCTCTTTGTTCCCCAGGCACAGAAAGCCCGCCAAAGGGACAATTGCCCCAAAAGTGTCCCCACCAACCTCAGGAACCCCCACACAAGTACATTTCCTGGACCGGTCTTCGTTTGTGAGGTTCCTGGGCGACACCATGCAAGAGAAGCATTTCCTTTATGGATTCAAATGCTCCCCCTGGTTGGCGTTCGTATATACGAAATGGCGGCCACGCAGGGGAGCACTCATTAATTACTTCCTGTGGAGGACCGCCTCTGCCAATTGCTGCTTCCTAGTATCTCCAAGTACTTACAAGCACTCCACCAGACACCATCAGTACTGCAGTCCCACTTCCAGCATTACAGCGTGGCTGTGGTCTCGTTGTCCTCCACCCACCCTAGGCCAGTGGGCAGACCTCTCCTACTCCAGAGAGTGTAGCAGGCTGCTCTTAAAAGAGCAAGTGATTATAATCCCAGGGGAGTATAGTGATATAGCAATCCCCAGACCAGATACAGCTGTTCCCCCCCCACACAAGAGACGAGGCTCTAAGTCGAGGGTAAGCAGGAACTCATTTAATGGTAGCCACAACTGGCCTTGTATGCAAGTCCCCATGCAAGGGGTACTCCCACCTAGACCCAATGGAAGACTACAGTACAAAGTTACATACCATTGACAAAGTTGTTTCAACTGTATATAAGCACAGGTTTGATTAATACACATGCATTTTGGGTTTGCATAGTGCACTTTCAAATTTAGATTTTTGCATTGCACTTTAGGTTCATGAAGTGTAATAGGGAACTTAAAGGCCCTACGCACTTTTTTAGTTTTTTGTTATTTTAGTGTGATTGAGCTTCATTGTAAGGTGCAGCTCACACATTATTGTGGTTTCTTTTCCAGTTGTAAAAATTTGTAGCGCCTGTTTTTACTTTTTTTTTTTTGTATATAGTATTAATTCATTGCTTTAATATGGAGAGGACTAATGCGTGCGTGGCATTTGCTGTGCATGCTCATTAGCGCCTGCTCGTCGCAGGACTGAGGAGGAGGCGGAACTCCATCCTCCTCCATCCTGCGACGAGTGGGTACTAATGCGCATGCGTAGCAAATGCAGCGCACATGTTAGACCTCTCCATAGGAAAGCACTGAATTAATACTAAAGGGTTTTTAACCCTTCATTTACCATAGTTGGAGGGCACGAAGGAGGGGGGATGCAAAGGGAGCTATAGTGCCAAGAATACACCTTTATATTCCTGGCACTTATAGTATCCCTTTCATGTTTTTCAAATTGAGACTAGATCCAGATGCTTACAACGCGGACACTTTCTACAGACATGGGCTCCATCTCATCACTATTCCTTTCCATCCTTTTACCTCATACTTCATAATTTTCTTCATCTTCAATGTTAGCAGACTTCTCTGGTTCCCATAATCCAATTTTGGACCTTGCAATCGTGGTTCCCAAAACTGCTGGAGATGTCAATCGACACACCAAGATAGTTTTCTTCCCGGACTAGCCAGTGGATTCCGATAGGCACTGGCAAAGCACTCATTTTTGCTTCAGTGTCATCTTCCTCTCATGACATGGTCCCTCTCCAGGGACTCTGGTTTATCTCAGATTGTCCATAAGCAACACTTTATCTTCTGGTAGGAACTTGGACTCCTGGAACACACCAATCATACCAACATGCCTGGAATTCAAGCGCTTACTGGTGCATTGAACTACAATTGAATCCCGTATTGGCTCCTGCAGCTTCTTAACCAATCTTTTCAAGCAATGTCTAGCTTACTGCACTGTCCGTGTGTATTAATCAGCCATCTCAGCTAAGTATAAAAAAAATCTAATGGATTCCCTTTATGGAAAAATCACTTTATTTGCTGTCTCCTCCATGGCATCAAGTTTGCAAGGCCTACTTAACCAAGGTACTTGCCTTATGGTGTATAAATATGCTTCTTTACCTTTTTGAATCATGGCCTGATAACCCGGGTCATTCGTTGCTACAATTACCAGCTATTCATTGCTACAATTATCAGCTAAAATGGTCATGCTCTGTTGCTTGATTTCTTGTAAATGGGTCTTAAGTGTTCAGGTTGTGAACATTGATATTTGTTAGGGATGTGCATGGGCAAAAAATTTGGTTCGGTTTGGAAATTCGAGTAAGTAAAAAAATTAGGCAATTCGGTTCGGTACTTCCGAAATTCTGAACTTCGGCAATTCGTAACATTTGTAGGGCTCCCTAACCCTAACCCTACCCCTAAACCTAACCCCACCATTTTTTAAATTCATTTGTCTGCCTTTTGTAATTCATTTTAATTTATATATTGTTTTTAAATAAAACTCAACATATATCTTGGGAAGTACACATTATATTAGAAGTCATTTTGAGTGTGAGACATCCTCTTACTTATAACAAGGATTTTTGGGTTTTTTTTGCGGATA